TAGAGGGAAGGCAGCTAGTCAATACCACCCACCGCCAACTTTGTTGTTGAATTTCGCGAAAAGCTACACGAGGGCTATCTGTGCTAGCCTTCCCTAATTTAGCAGTTAAAGACTAGAGGGAAGGCAGCTAGTCAATACCACCCACCGCCAACTTTGTTGTTGAATTTCGCGAAAAGCTACACGAGGGCTATCTGTGCTAGCCTTCCCTAATTTAGCAGTTAAAGACCACCCAGAACCAACTCTTACGCTATTCCTTTATCGACGAACAGTGGGATTGACTGTCACATTATAACGCCCCCACAGCTGAAAGGACGAGCATATTTGGTGGGACGGGGATTCGAACCTGCAGACTGCGAGTCGAGCGCCCTAACTACCTGGCCATGTGAAGAATATCCGATCCCGTGTAGTTTACGTTAAGGTAAAAACTGACAGAACCGGAATCAAATATTACATTTTTTCTTCCCCTTTATTTAAACTTTATTAAAATTAATACGTAAATTTTAACAATGGATATGCAAGAAATCTGAGTGAAAATTAGAAAAGGAAACACGTTGAGATAGTGAGCGTAAAAAAATGAAATGTGGCTAATTTCTGTGTTTTGAAATAAATATAAACACGCAATCAACTACAGGGCAGTAATGGTCAGATAGGTAACAGGTATAGCTTTCTCTAATCAAGTACATGTCGAACAACCAATAGAGATTTGAGGTTATCCCGAGAGGAATTTTTAACCTCATGTTTTAACATTAGTGAAAGATAAGATAATACTGATTATTTTTTGGGATGTTTTGTTTGATTATTACCCTTGCCCAGAAGTGGGGGGTATTGCATTTGGGTCCGTATGTATGTATATCTAAAAAATAATAAGCCGATTTAAGTGATTTTTTTTACAGGAGATGGTGTGTCCCCATAGGACAGTCCTCCCCAAATATGATCAGATATAATTTCAGGAGCACATTGAAACCAAAAATTGATGACGAGGCGAGGGTATGGAATCTCTGATTACTCTTGTTGTTATGTCCAAAGTTACACGATGTACTATCTGTGTTCTGCCCATCATGGGTACCCGATATTTAGTGCTGTAAGCTTACCGCTGAGCCACTTGAGGATGGACAATATCTTGGTGGTGAGATAGGATTAATACTAACAGCCAAACCAACTTACCAAAACTCCACAACATCAAACAGCCACTCCCTGCCAAACCAACTTACCAAAACTCCACAACAACCAACAGCCACTCCCTGCCAAACCAACTTACCAAAACTCCACAACAACCAACAGCCACTCCCTGCTAAATCAAGTTGATAATTAAGTGAACTTACCCACGTTTCTTTGGTACTGGAAACCAACAACAGCCAAGGCTACAGCCATAGCCAGAAACATGACGAGGGATACTGCCGTCACTCCACATAAAGTCCTCTCCAGACGGCTTCGTCTGTTCCACCAAGGCGGATTTCTGTGAAAATCGGAAAAACGTGAACAGAGACGTTAAATTACGTAGTTTTGGTTACTTACAGACTTTTATTCTATGTAGGTATGGACGAGAATTTCGAAGGATAAATCAAGACGAACAGAACAAAATAACTTCAGTCGTCCAACAAATTACAGAATTTGTAATGAAGAGAGAGGAAAAAAACAGTAAATTATCAAGCACGTGAATCATAGACTGGATTATTTACAAGAAATTACAAAATTTGTAATGGAGAGAGAGATAAAAAAAACAGTAAATTATCAAGCAAGTGAATCATAGACTGGATTATTTACAAGAAATTACAAAATTTGTAATGGAGAGAGAGAGAGAAAAAAAACAGTAAATTATGAAGCACGTGAATCACACACACTGGATTATTTATTGCAGTGAAAAACAAAAAACATGAAATTTGTTTTCGGATATCCGTGCAAAGCTACCGAGGAGCTATCTACATTAGCCGTTCCTAATTTTAAAGTTATAGAGTAGAGAGAGAGGGAGGGGGGGGGCATCCACCACCAGCTCTTGGAATGTTCTTTTCTGTCAGAATAGTGGGGGTTTTAACGTTAATTTATAAGGCATCCATTACTCAAAAACAAATATCGCAATTTTTTCGGATTTTATTTATTTTTGGCGATAACGGGACGCAACCGTCGGATCCACAGTCCGGCGCGCTAATCACTGGGCCACGACTGGCCTGGAATGAAGTGAAAAACATACGAAACTAGTGTAATAGATTCGCTATCTAGTTGCAATAACTCGCTGATTGTGGTTTCCGTTGTAACTAAATCCAACAATGTGAACCCTCTACCCAGCTTTCATTGTATGGTAGTATTACATCACCCGACTAAATCCAACAATGTGAACCCTCTACCTAGCTTTCGTTGTATAGTAGTATTACGTCACCCGACTAAATCCAACAATGTGAACCCTCTACCCAGCTTTCATTGTATGGTAGTATTACGTCACCCGACTAAATCCAACAATGTGAACCCTCTACCCAGCTTTCATTGTATGGTATTACGTCACCCGACTAAATCCAACAACGTGAACCCTCTACCAAGCTTTCATTGTATGGTAGTATTACGTCACCCGACTAAAGCCAACAATGTGAACCCTCTACCCAGCTTTCATTGTATAGTAGTATTACGTCACCCGACTAAAGCCAACCCTCTACCTAGCTTACATTGTATAGTAGTATTACGTCACCCGACTAAATCCAACAATGTGAACCCTCTACCTAGCTTTTCTGATATAATGCAAGATACACGTGTGCTAAACGCTTCGTTGTTTCAATACAGAAGTTGGTTCTAGATGTAGAATCATGTAAAAGTCATGTCAAATCACAGATGTAAAAATTATAACTAGTTCATGAGGGTATATAAAAAAGGATTTCAGATCTGTATTGCGTTTGCCACATGTCACTGTTCAGGTGGCATATCGTTCAATACACACATGCGCCTTCAGGTACTGGTACTAACAAGCACCGAATATATATATACATTTTGCTATGTTTAGCTTTGTATTAATTTTTGATCATGTGCAGGATTTTAGACCAAGATGCAGAGGGTGGGGGGCAAAAATGTCTGACTTCATTATTGTGAATGTCGTGTGGAGGGGAGAGGAGTGGGGGCAACAATGTCTGACTTCACTATTGTGAATGTCGTGTGGAGGGGATGAGGAGTGGGGCAACAATGTCTGACTTCACTATTGTGAATGTCGTGTGGAGGGGAGAGGAGTGGGGCAACAATGTCTGACTTCACTATTGTGAATGTCGTGTGGAGGGGAGAGGAGGGGGGCAACCAT